ACCACATGAGAATGCCATTTCCTTCAGGCAATGAGCAGGCAATCCCAGCCAGCCTCATCCTCAGTTTATTAAAGGGATGTGCACTCTGAACAATGCGGTGTTCAATTTTGTAAAACATTTTTGGACTCTTGAGTCTGATATTTTTATGGTGGCCATAGGTAGTTTGGATGAATTAATGGAAAGCCTTCCGAAGAAAAAAAAATAAAACATTTCTTTTATTCTTTAAATCCATGCAAATTCAAACAAAATTTGTTCACGCACTTTTCAATTCTTAAAATAAATTTTACGGTAAGATGATATCACATAATTGTTTTCTTTTTTTCAGAAATTACAATAGGAGAAATGACATCACTTCCAATTTGATTGTGAACCAGTTGTACAGTACAAAGTCTAAAACATAACAATGGTCCAAAAATAAAATTTGAAAATTGTGCAACTGCCGTCAAAGGACTTTTCAATGCCAACATCGCACCCACCAACGTGGTGGTTGCAAAATGCTCTATTTCAGGGGGATCTACAGCATTTTGTTCCGGGTTCCCCAAGTCAAGTACACAAAGGAGACAAAACCCACGCGGGCGATTTGTTTGACAACAAAGGCGCACGCCGCAGCTGCAACAGCGCGTTACGTCAACCGTCGTTGACACATAACATGGTGGGGTTTCCCTAAAGCTCCCAACTGCCATTGTCAACCAAAAAGTAGAAGGGATTAATACAAAAAATTGTGAAAAATAGACGCACGCGTCCGCATCTGGAACAAAGCTGCCAGAAAGCTTTCCATTTGATAGTAATGGCCGTCGTGGGTTACGCCATGCATGAATAATGAAAGTCAGTGCTTTTCAGGCTTTTCAAAATTATGCCGGGAGACAGCTGCAGAGTGAACGCGGAGCATTGTTCACTTTTGAATTTTCACCGAACATCTAAATATAGCAACTTTATTGTATGAGGGAAAAATGTACATGAGTAAACGAGTTCTCAAATCCGCAATTCTTTGCAGATACACATGTATACACCATGTACAATACAAAGTCAAGTAAATGCAGTTTATAATAAACCTCTACATGTATTTGTACAAGTGTGTCCTTGAACAGCAAATAAAAGCATTACACAGTGCTGTATCTCTATAGGTCAATATAAAATTTCATAAATCCACGATGTACATGTATACAATTTACATACATTTGTATACAAATTGTATTACAATACACTGTATGCATTGATGCACATGTACAGGTAGTGCACAGACAACAAAACCTGTTCAATTACAGATCAACTTTACATGGCAAATGTAGTGATCCCTGCCCCAGGAAGTCACCACAGACTGAATGTTCATCAGCTACGTGCCAATAAACATGCGTTCCAATTATTTCCTGTCCACTATCAATCAATCTCTACATAAGCATGGATGCCAGGGCATTCCATTCCAATGCTGTGTGTTTACTGACAGGAACTTGCTACGGGCAAAGAGATCAGGTGAGACAATACTCTCATTAAGCTACAAGTACACAATAAAAATGTCATGTACAGTATGTAAATATGGACCATAAAAACCTAGAATTAATGTTGATAAAATGCCATCAATTCAAGACTTCAGGTAATTGTGTTGAAGTATACAGGGGCAGTTCACCTGTCCAGAATATATCTGAATATTGTGCACAATTTTATCAATCACACCAACATTAAACAAATGAACAACATCAATTGTACATAAATGTACATGTACATGTACTTTACGTGTATACATACAGTACATTGTTCAGACAATGAAATTATGGTGAGACATCCAACATTTAGATGAACCAACCATTTGCCACATGTATTTGTCCAACACAAATTTTGTATAAAAATTAAGTGCATTCTATTTCCACATTATACTTTATAATGTATGTAGTTGTTACAGCTCAAAATTGATTGTGCTTGGTCATTTTGTCCAAGCGCGCAGTGTTGGAGTCTAATTTCTGCATAGTTTACATGTACATGTAGATGACATACGGTATGTGTGTGTACAACAGAGGTGAATCACCTATTCCCAGGTGATTAGTCTTCATTTGCTATGGCACTGATTAGCCGTGATGGGAATTAATCAGTTTTTAATCTGGTCACTCTGCACTGGTCAAGTCTGTCCTTGGGCCAAACTGGCCTTCACCTTTAGGGTACATGTAATAATTTATTGAAGCTTGAGATCCGTAATATTTATTCAAATCACTACGAATGCAAATGCAAAGAGGAAGGAGTTTTAATCATTTGCCAACAGACGATAACAATTATGTTTTTTTAATTTTCTTTTTTTGGGAGGGGGAATAGACTACAGTTATACTGTACATTTATTATTCACTGGGTTCCAATTTAACAAAAAAAATACATTAGCTTAAATAAAAAAAATTGTTGATGGAAGCATGACGCTTACACATGTGTGCAAGATGCACAAAAATGGGTAATTAAAATTGATCTTTTGAAATAAAAAGGCTATTGATTCTCCCCAAGGACTTAACTCAAAATGAAACATGATATTTAAAATTTGCAAATTAGCTAAAAGGAGTCCATTTAATCAAGAGAAAGTGCCAGGTAAAAAAATGGATGTAAAAAAAGTGTACAATAAGATGTTCAGGAGTTCGTTCTACTTTTCAGTCAATTGTGTGCTTAACCGGCACAAGTCAATCCGTCCGCGTGCTGTCCGGGTCAAGCCATCCCTTAGGCCATGTTGATATCGCACAACGATGTCTTCTCTCTCTGTGTCTCACTACACTCTCCCTGCGTACATAAAGCTCTTAACCCTCCAGCTCCAACAACACCGGCCAGCCGAGCCAGTCAGTCTGGCGACGGATGACTCCATAGACCGTATTTATTGAATCACTGAGCACGTACTCCCCCTTCTCATATCGTCGTAGGGGAGGGGAGTTGAGGAGAACCGTGCCGCCGTTTTATTCTCTCTCACTAATAGCCAGAGTGAATTCCTGAGAGATTACTGGCACTTTGGAAGATTCCGAAAAGGCTGCCAAACGACCGGCTCAATTTTGTCGAGGTGTCGAGGTTGGTTGAGGTGTTTTTGTTTTTCGTCCCGACTGGAGAAACAGAGGATCCAGGTCCATGGAGCCTTGATCCTGTTTTCTTGTACGGTAATTGCATTAGAAATCATAGGTTCAAAGAAAGTTCTTGGAACCTTTCAAATAACAAAAATTTTATCGAGTAGTTGACATCGGGCTAGAAGTAAAACAGGTCAAATGAGATTGCTTTTGGTGTGTCTTCTTTGATTTCAATATTACTACATGTAGGATATGGAACTCATGAACTTCGTGTAGAAACAAAGATAAGCACTTCGAGTGCACTCTAGTTTTAAAAACCAGAAAAGTAACTCATACTTCAAAATACACCCAATGTTTGCTTGCTCAAAAACATGGGTTGTTTTTTCCTTGAGTACACAGGGCACATACAACTCTCGAATACAACCTGTTCGCACTTAATAGTCATTAATTACACTTCAAATTTATGCGTCATACTCAAAATATTATAATTAGTGAAGTGAATAATGACCGAGACACACAGTGATGCAGAATGGTCATTATGACTCAGACAAATGCTGCCTTTTCTAGAGGGAAATAATTTTAGTCTGCACATACTGGATGATTTTATGGTAATAAATTACCAAATTTCAGAAGTGGTGATTGTGGTACAAATTAGTCACGATATTTAATTGTTATATCGTGTGCTTGGATACCGTAATTATTAGGCAGTTCACAATTATTTGAATGGAGGCATTTGTAAAAGGCCTAATAATTAGAAATTCCTAAATTTGCATCAGTATAGTTTAATTACTAATTCAGGCAAACTGCAATAATTCAAAACCACAATGCAGAAACACATCACAAACACAAACACATCACAATGAAAATTGTGATAGAAATAACTTTGCCAATCCAATAATGAAATCCAAGCATGAAAAGTAATACATGTAAGTAGCCCTATCACAATAGGAAGATCCCCCCGTTTTTTCCATGTTTTTTTTTTTTCGGGACAAACATGAACATGACAACAAAAAGGGTTTTAATACTAATACAAGTAACAATTGCCAACATTAACATGACAAATTAAGCATAAAATCTGGCTGAATTATGAATTTTAATTTATATCAACTGCTATTTTTTCACATTGAAATATTTTTTCATGGAAGTCATGGAAGTGTGAACACTTTTAATTAAGTTTTATCATTTGCTGGACAGTTGGAAATTTGTTAACATTTCATTGCTGCAATTTTTATTTACTTTATTGAACTCACAGTAACACATTAAACTCTCTTTTTCCTGCACTCATCATATTCATAGACTCTACAAAAACAAAGGGGGAAAAATTCCATACATGGACATCACTAATTTTTTCCAGTGCAGTGACCTATATCACTAAGTATAAGCTATCACTGTATTAGAAAGCAATAACACGTCCTAAAAGGTCAAATTTAACAGGCAGAATATTGAAGCGTTTACTGAGAAAACACTCAGAATTGTTCAGCCACTTTATACTAGGGTTTGTGCAAAAAAAAAGGAAAAAAATGTTGCAAGCTGACGCAACTTCCACGATTGTGTACACTACAAAGTCTATGATGGAGAGTCAAGAAAATTTACTAAGTATCTCCTAACAAAATTGGAAATGTTTCTCAGTCCCAGATTCATGTCTTATCTGCTTATCATCATTTTTGCAATAAATGGCCTTCATTGAGATGATATATGAAGAAAAAAGTGGCGTCAGGTTGCAACATTATTTCCAAAACAAAAACAGGGTGTAAAGTGATGTCAAGGACAGGTGGGCCTATGCCATGGAAATATTTCTGACAACGGCCTTACTTGAATTCAAGCAACAAAAGGGAATCCATATTAACTCGAGCTTGGCACAGAGGCTGTCTTGCAAGTTGCAGTGCAACTCTCAATATTGTCAATGGTCAACACACAGTCACAAGCACTGCGACAGTGCGAGCAAGACCGTCACCATGCATCTCGTGCAAGCAAACTTACCCGAGAACTGTCCCGGCTGAAGAACTGCCGAAGGCTCCAGTCCACACACGGCGAAATAGTCGACAAAACGGTTGGTCTGCTGCCCCGTGGAACCCATTCCATACGGGGAGAGACTATGGAAGACGGGCACAAATACAGATAGGAAGCCTTCTCCAAGTATCAAGAAATTAGCGTTTTCTCGACTGCTCTGATCTCAGTTCTGTTGCTGTTCTGATTTGTGTGTGGATGCGTCATTCTACTTAAATGTCATTGACACAATGCACACAGTCGGGCCCCTTCAAAACACACGTCGTTTGCTGCCTAATATCCGCCAGGAGCCATTGTGTAGTCTTCTGGATACCAGTCCAGTGGCACCAACTTTTGCCGGACTGAGATAACAGACCCATGTATGAAGCGAAATGATTAGGTGTGAAGTTATTCGTTTATTTCGCAATAATTTCTCCAAATTAGACATTTAATGCAATAATGACCACAATTCTTTTTTAATCTCCCACAAGTTGGGGCGTTTGCGGAAAACGGACTAAGTTTGACAAGTTTCGAGAGGCAGGTCCGTACTATGAGGGGGCGTGTTCTCACCTCCGATCCGGATTCTGTCCGAAGCCCAATATTTTCCCAAGATTCATCAATAGTTTCGACAATTTCGGTTTATATTGCTGACGAATTTCAGAAAATGAAGTCCTAGCTCACAAATTGTACTTCTTATCCAAACAGAAAAATATCGTTAAATTGTGTTGAAATAACCTTCAGCTCGATAAAGCTCATGATACATTTACTTTGGAATCGGAAGAGAGCACCCCCACCCTGAAAAAAAACTATGGACGGCTTTATTCAATAAAACTGTGAATGGAAATGACAGTTATTGAATAATTGCTCAATGTTTTCCAAACAAATTTTCACTTTATGATGTAAGAATAGGGCTTTCGTAGAAAGAAGACTGGGTTTGTGAGCGCAATCCGTATGAGGGGGCGTGTGCATTGGTTTGGTTTCGAACCTTCATCCTCACCAGTGTATAGCCTATCCGGTTTCCTACCCTTGAACATCTTCTCAATCAAGTTCAACATTTTCCCCGACTTAACCGGTTAACCCTGTAGTTTCGGCAAAAAGTTTCATGCGAAGTTGACTGTCAACAGATAAAGAGTGCATCACAATCTTTGAGATGTAGGCCTAACATGACGTGTCATGCCAACGGAAAACGTGATTACCATGCTTATTCCTCCATGGTTTTACTGAATGACTTTTTAAAAGGATGTTGTTACTTTAACTCCCGTTGGTTTGATCGTGCACAAATAACACAATAAATGTGCAAACGGACGTTGGAACCCCCCCCCCCCAAAAAAAGAGGGGGTGGTGGCCTAGTGGCTAGCTGACCTTAAAGTTCAATAGGATATCTACTGTATAATCAAGTCTGCAGACCGCGCGGGAAGGTATTTTTTCGATAGCTTTTAGCACTAATCAGCGCAGTCGTCTTGGAGGCGTGCTGAAAACATGGCTTCACGATATATCGATACATTAACGCACAAACAACCTCTAAAGCCAAGTTCTACGATTTTTGAACTGAAAAAAAAAACGTTGCCCGAGATGTGTGTGTTTGATCAAAGAATGAAAAATCTTAAAACGTGCATTTAACATTTTGTGAAAGCATTTAAAAGTGAGAGAAATACCTCGGTTAACAGGCTGGTGCAATGACAAATGATTTTTGTAATGATGCGTTAATATTCAACAAAAGGAACATTGAACATTAATTTAAAACAAGCGCAAAGTTCCACTCCTTTCCCAGAAATAAAAGTCAACGATTTTGCAACGGGACGGCAAATGATGTGCCCCTAACGACCCCTCCCCCGTCCACTCCAGTTCCCGGATGCAGTAAGAATCTTACTCAGTTACTGCATCCGGTAGTGGGGTGGACGGGGGATCATTTGCCGTCCCGTTGCAAAATCGTTGACTTTTATTTCCAATAATTTTCGCGGGGAGGGGGTCATCTGCAAATCAATGCTGAAATGAGACAAGGTTTTTTTCCTCCGGACACTTGGCCTCCGTAAAATCAATGGGGGAGGGGGGGGGGGGGGCTCGTACCATACTTTCAAAGTGATCGCTGTTCAAATCCGTCGATCATGAACACTATATTACAGAATGGTCTTCGAAAACCCCCGTAGCCTAGCTGGCCGGCTCAGTCCGAATGTTGGGCACAAGTTACCAGTATAATTGTCATGATTGTTTTGGGGTGTCAGAGCAGAGGGGGTTCAAATTATTTGTAATATATTTCTATTAAAAAAAAATGCGGGGTGACCCCTAAAAAAAACACTCCGGACCCGCGCCTGCCAGTTTGAGAATTTTATTGTCGATTAGGCGATATTCAATGCCGCTGTCGTCTGCCAGCGCAAAGCTTTGAGCGCAACCATCACCACCCATTTACGAACAGCGTCCAATTAAGAATCGCCTGAGCCATGATAAAGAGGGCGCAATGCTAAGTTTTTCTTGCGCGCAGAAGCTGACACGAATCCAAAGCACCAAAATCTTGGCGGCGCACATTAATTTATTTCGTTGATCGGCTGTACAGAAATTATGAACAAGAGCCGCTTACTCATTTTTCGGTAGTCCAACAATGGTCGTCCCGTTATTGTGACTATCCTAGATCTTCTAAAGCCGCCCAGCTGCAGAATCTTTGTAATATATAATGGCAAAGTCATTTTTCTAGGGACACGCCTAGATCTTCTGAAGCCGCTCCTCTACAATTTTTTTGGGCACACAATTTGTTCCCCCCCCCCAAGGACGCGCCTAGATTTTCCACGGCTGCTTCGCTACAAAATCCTTATATTTAACCGCAAAGTATTTTGCTTTCTAGGGACGCGTCTATTGCGACTGTTAATTGACCGAAGTGCCAACTCAATATAAAAACAGTTTAAGCAACTTTTTAGACACTTAAATATGAATATCTCATGCTCTTCAAAAACAAAACGATTTTTTTTTCTGCTAACGAATTTTCAATTGATATGTTTTGTTTTTAACAAAAACAATACTTTATTCCGATTTTGGGCGTCTTTCATTTTGTGCACAAATAACCCGCCCTGCGATAGCCCATTTATTGTCTGGCAGCCAATAATTCGAACTTTGTGGAGAAATAATTCAATGACTAAACGTCCGTGGATTTTTTTTTCAATGTCTCTTTCAAAAGTGAATAACGTTTATATTTCTGTAGGAAAATAGCAAGTGAAAAATTAACTTTATTAATCGGGGCGACACTCGAAAATAGCACCGGGAATCCATCTTTAACAACCCCTCCACTAGTAGCATACCCTTATCGTGAAATATACACCAGTAAAAAAGTTCCCATGAAAATGGCCAATCAAATTATGTTTTAGTAGAATTAAAACCAACTGTTTAAAATTCAAAACCAACAACAAACAAACAAAGCCAAAACACCCAAAACACTCCCACCCAAAACACAAGAAAACTTATGAAATAAGCAAAGAAAAAACAAAGAAAAACAACAAAAATCAAGAATTATTACAGAACACTGGTAAAAAGTAAAGTTTATTCATATTTGTTTTCTCTTTGTCGTCAGGATTCTAGTCCACAATTTGTTCAAGACAATATCACTCATCGGAGAATAAATACAAGTGAGTGTTATAGGTACACAAAATAGAGATCTTCATGTGAATTATGTCTTTAAAAATTAAAGGGAAAAAGATGGGAAACTGTTCGTGAGTTAAAGAAGTAAGCAACTGCAAAAACTGAACTTGCAAACTTGAATTTGCAAAAGGAACGTGAGTATTTCCTACCAACATTACAGCTTTTCTTGAGATGTAGAAAGAAGACATGCAGTTGCTGAACAAAGATGTATCTATGTAGAGAAAAACAGCAGTAATACATTTTTTTAAAGACATTTTAGTGGAATAGTAAATATTTATCATATTTGTTTTAAAAAAAGTTGTGGAGAATTATTAATGGTACATGTTCTTTTATACTTTCTTATCTTTGTAACTTACTGGTCTTGTATTTTGTTACATGATCACAAATAATTTTGATTAAAAAATTGATTAAAATTATATAATTTTATACCTTATTATTACGTATGATACAAATTATACATAATTTACATTGATATTTCCAATTATGAGTGTGGGGTTGATGGTAGCTTAATTAGTTTCTTAAAGTTGGGACAATTTTTTTACAAGCTAAATTTTTTTACAATAGACTTTACAGCAGCATTTGGACAAACTATTTGAATATTCGACAGTCGTGATCATGCTAACAAATTGTTCTGAATTGTTAACATTTGAAAAATGTAAAGACATTTTTTTTACTGAAATACATTATGTGATTGCAGTTAACAAAATATTATGACATATAAGAATGTGTTGAGGTTTCTTTCTTTTTTTGGCCTAGATAATTTCAACCTGTTGAATTGTTGAAAACTTTGCAGCGTTCCTTTCTCAGGCTCCTTTTCAAAAATAAAAAGAGGAAAACATACCCAAATAGGTACTAGTTTAATACATCCAAAAGTACGTCAGATATGCTTACAGAATTTAAGTACCATCCTAAAAATTACAAAATAAATACACGTTAAACCATTACAAAGATTCTCAACCAAAGCAAGATGCACTTAATGTTCAAAGAAAACAGATATTTTTCAGATAAGATTTTTTTTTTTGGTTTTAATTTAGAATTTTTAACATCCAAATGTGTATATACTTCACTGCATTATGTAAAATAATTAGAGTACAGATTTATTGTTTAAAAGCAACTCATACCGCATGTTTTCTGTTAAAAAAAAAATATGACACATGAAATATGCAAAATATACACCAGGTTCTGTCACCACGAAACAGATATCATTAAATAACCAGTATTATACTCACAATGAAGTTTTAAGTAGCACAAGATATAACTCATTCCAAATTACTATACACTGATCTTAACAGCAAAACATGCTCAAGAAGCAGACACAATGAACTCAATTGCTGTACATAGTTTGGAAACTTACTTCCCTTTCTTTACAATTGGTAATTAAATCAACTTTTTTTACAATAAATATTTTGCAAGCAGGCTGGGCTGAAAGTGAGGCAAGGGGGCCACTTGTAGAGGTTCCATTCATACCTTAGCAAGTTACACAGTAACTGTATATCCAGCCTCACTTTCATTCCAATATGGCAGTCACAAGCAGCAGACAGAGAGTTTTGAGTGAGTGGTCATGTGACCATGTGACTGGTCATGTGACCATGTGAAGGATGCAAACCACTGAGAACTGATCTGCGCCAAGCATGACATCTAGTCTTGTAGTCAAGTCCATCATGAGTCCATCACAACTCACAAGCGATTCAAGTGACCTCTGACAAACACTCCTTTGTCACAATTCACCCCCTGCTGCTTGTGACAAGACTAGTGAACTGACTTGTGATTTACTTTCGACCAGTCTTGAGATGGACTTGTCTACTAAATCTGGCAACATCCACTAAAGGAGCGGTATCCTCATAGGTGTCAATTGAAAGAGCACAGTAGTTAGCCCCTCACACCAACACAAAACATGAGCTTTCTTGTGTTGTCATTTTGTGTGTTCATGAAACTGAAAACTTTCTTTTACAACCACATTACCGTATGCATAAAGTACATGTATTTCAAGAAAGGCAAGCAACTCTATGTGCCACTATACTAAATACATCATTGCTCACATTGCACATCCAAACAAATTATAAGTTGATAATATACGAGTAAAAAAATCCGGAGCACTGTGAAATGTGAATACATTGCTGATAATCCGACCCATCCAATGTGTGTACTATAAAAAGGATTACAAAGATATCGTTGATTGAAAAATCAAACAAAAGAAGTAAAAAAAAAAACCTTGAAGGTGTATATGCCTTTATCGACAGTTTGAGAGTTTTTGCTATGCCTGTGCGACAGGTTTGAACTGGAAATAATGATAAGACTTCAAAAGTCGAAATGCTTTTATTTTTTGGTTCCGTAGTAACAACTGGGGTCCAAAACCTAGAGCCAAAACAAGATTTGAGTTTTAAAAATGCTGAGGTGATCTGAAAACTTAACTTTCCTTTTTTTCATGATTCTAATGTATATTTTATGACAATGACAAGCGCTATTTCTTTTTTTAAATTCTTGTCTTGTGCAATTAAGACATGATATTTTGTTCATTTTTTTCCAACTCATTTTGAAATCAATTACCTTTCAAATAATCAATTTAACAATACTGTTGTCAAAAAAATTAGAGGTTTTCTTTGTAAAACATTTGTTTTGATCTGATGATTTCATTTGCAAATTTAATAAAGAGCTAGAGAAATATGGCCTTTTTGCTTTTCACTAAATATCAACATTTGAGCTTCACATTCGCTGGTCTTTAGCCCACGCTAGGAAGCTACAACCGTGATGTGTTTTTGCTTGTGTGGACAATCCTGCTTTGCATGTTGGCAAGAGATAAATTTGTCATTGTTTTATCATTTCAAATTATCTACAGTTATCTACACATGCTTTTCATACTTTGTACAGTTATGGACATATAGGTACATATTTACAGAAAATATCATTTTAAAATGTGAAAAATACCGAGCACGGTCTGAAATATTTGCACATTGCTTTTTATAGAGAGAGAAAAAAACAATTATTGGTTAAAAAAAAGAACCTTGTGTTTATATCCTACCAAAAAAAACTAAGACAATTTTTCACAAAAGCTGTACAAAGTATTGAAGAAAAAGCCCTTAGCAAAAGAAAGAAAATGACTTTCGTTTTTTAACTTTTGACAAGAGCCTTATGAACATCAATATTGGTCAAACAGTGTACAAACCAAATAAGATTAAAACACTCACAGAAATATACAACATTGCTTCTATCTGTAACAGTCTACCATCCAGCCAAAATCAATATTTTTATTGTCAGACTTGCTCTGCAATTTTATATTGACAACAAATACAGGAGACAGCAACTGAGAATGTTGACCAAACGTTTCACTGTATTCACATCAAAACTAAATCTATTTAATCTTTTCTACTTATGAAATTGATTAATGGTCAAAAGCAAGACATATGCAAATTGATCCACATAATACAAATAAGAAGAGGCATATAAATATACAATGATTGTGAATATTTATGAAGCAAATATATTTTCATGAATATTCATGTTGTAATTCATCTTTGATGAAAATATTTTTGGTTTCTCAACATTCAGAAGTTGCAGCCCTCTGCAGATAACACTGCAGAGATATCTTGACAATGAATATTCATGAATTACTGAAGGCTGGGGCTGCGCTGTAGGTACTCAATATTGAAGCATCTCAAATATCATGAATATTCATCTTGTTTTCTCCTTTATTCAAAGGATTTTTCCTTATGAATATTCATCCCGGTGAAATACTGCTGAAATTGGTTGTAGACACTCCATTCCAACTTATTTCTGATACTATGAATATTCATCATGTTTTCTCTTATTGCCAAATTGTCCTACTCTGCATTTCATGAATATTCATCTTGGTGTTCTGCCAGTTGTTTTCATCTGCCGATATCCCAGTCTTGAAGGTGTTCAGACAGTAATCTCCACAGTTTTCTGGATGTCTTCCGTGGACAAGCCAACGCTGTCAATGCTGTTGGTGTCGCTATCGCAGCTCTGGGCTCCTGACAGGTTTGCTGCTTCCTGCAGCCTCATCAGCATGTTGAACTGAAGACAAAAGGGGAAAAAGAGAAAGAAATTGTAAGAATCTTTACCTTTTAGGGCAACAACTATCAATGGATTGAAGCCAAACTATCCAGGTTTAGACAAAATACCTGTGTGGCTGGAGTTAATAAGGTGTCCTCTGGACATTGAGTTATTTATGATTTTTTTTTAGGAAATTCAGTTCAGTCACAGGGTTGGATTCTCTCTCCTCTAAATTCACTGCAAGTTGAATGTTTTTAAAAAAAGTGTTGGCAAAAAACATTTGGTGACGACACACACAAACTTTGGCCGAAAAAATATGAATGCAGAATGATGTTAAGGAAGCTTGACGACACTTTTTGCTCAATCACAAAAACAATTTGAAAAGCGAATTAATCATGTGCAAGTTGCATTTTCAAAACAGTTCTTCTCAAAGGTACACAAACATTCTATTCAGAGTATTCTTTCAATATCACAAAGGAAGTGATGTCCGTACAATTCAACTTCTGCAAGGCTCTAATTGATACAGAGAACGAACTTAAATATTCATAGTCTGAAGCAAAAACACATTAATCAAGAAAGAAATGTTCTTCAAATAACACAAAAGAAAACACGACATCAATGGCTGAAAGTATACAGTTCTCAACTCGAGACATGCATGAATATTCTTCCTGATTGTGTGTGCCAACAAAAACCAGAACAAAAGACACATATTTTACATGCTTAACGCTTAGAATGCAGTGTTTCAGCTACATATGTGCAGTTACATTGGCCAAAAATATGTGGGACAAGTTGTAAGCTGTGAGCTACACGACATTTGCTCAATGAGACTTAACGCATTCTACACATAAGGCAAACTATAGAATTCAAGGTGTTGTCCCTATATGCTGATATGGCTGGGGTTATGGTTTATGAAAGTACACTACCATTAAATTTCGGCAAAAAATTAAGGCAAAAGTAGTGACTGGCAATACTAGAACTAATACTATAGGATCACATTGATGGCTTATGGCGCCCTCTATTGGTAGTGGCTATTACAACTATGAATAAATCAAGAGCACATGCATACACCTCACAAAGTTCACCAAAATCACGATGCACGTTTCTACAATTGTTAAATGGTGAATGACACTTTCTCTGTTTTAACACATTATGCACAACATGAATACATGATGCAGACACGTCAAGACGATCATGTGCATAAAACAACGTACCAGCCCCTCCGTGCCTGTCGCAACCTACCTAACAAGGTTAAATGGTTGGGCTTGCGCAGCTGCGCGGGCTGGAGTAGCCTGAGGCCTCTTGTAAATGCATGAGCATGCTCAGCTGTCATGGTTGCCATGGAGAAATAAGGTCAAAGGTTAGAGTGGGTGCAGCGTTACGTCGTGATTGGGGGTTAGTGTGCATCCGGGCCAGGGTCAGTGGTAAAACGGTTGCAACAATGATGTTACTTGTTAAGCCATCTTGAATTTGTCCATACTGAATGCAAGTAGTTGACATTTAGCCACTGGCTTTCAAGAAAACTTCCCTACCGATATTCTGAAGTTTTAAAGGTTTTTCCAAAATCCTAGTCACAAACTCTAATTATTATGTCAACGAATCCCCGTTTCTTATTTTCCAACTTACGTAAAGACTACGCCCCAGTAGTTTTGGAGGGAATGGCAAATACATTTGATATCTTTCCCAACAAATTTTGAAAGCTTTTTCATGTTGGTCTTTGACATTTTAGCATAAAATACCTACGGCAGTTTCACAAACTGTTTCCCATGTAATCATTTTCTAAAAAAAGGTCAACCGACATTCAGTTCCATTTCTCAAATTTGAACCAGTATAACGGGTTAAGTTTTAATTACTGGCATTTATTTATACAAAACTTACCAGCGGATCGCCTTCAGCATCACTCTGTCCAGATTGCTGACCTTTAATCCCGGTGTGCATGGTGTAGCCATCAAACCCGACATCCTCCGGGCGTAACCGTAGCAACGAGGGCCAGTCTTGGCTGCTGGTGGGTTGCCAGGGGTAACTGTCAATCACCCACTCGGCAGGGTCTTCCCAGGCTGCTTTGCGACCGTAGAGCTGCAACAAGATCAGAGACAATTGTGCATAGCTTGAACGGTTTGTTTGTAAATAACTACCTTTTGGTTTGAAAAGTAACATGGGCATGGTATGTTAAGTACTTTCTGAAAGCCCGCAAGAAAAACAATTACTAACAGTTTGGGAGACCTCCAACATTAGAGCAAGTTGTTACTCAGTGCATATGCAATTTAAACCTGAATATGTGACGCCATGCCAAGTATTGGTTGCATTTACATTTATATATATATATATTCTGGTTTATTATTAGAAACAAAACATATTGTACACAACAGCATAAATGCTGATAATTACAATATTTACAAAGAAGCTAAAATTTCATACCGTTACAGTTACAGCATTTGTGTAAAGCATACATGTATGAGCCAGCATCAAGGCAGGAAAGCTCAGATTGTGGAATGGTAAAATGATGCATCAGAGGTTGCACAGAAAAAAAGGTACAAACTTGATCGGTGAGGTTCAAAATTGCAAGCTTGTAAGTTTTCTTGCATGCTCTCGTAAACTTTCAAAAAATGACACTGATCTAGGGTCAAATCCAATATTAAAACAACCCACATACCTGTAATCCTTCCCTGACAGCCTCCAGGAGATAGGGCACGATGGAGTAGTTCCAGAGATCAGTGAACCAGACCTGAGACCCAGCTAGATCCACAGGGCAAGACAGGAACAGCCTAGGCCCGATGGTCACGTCTGAGGAGCTGTGAGACTCCAGGAACTTGTTGAGGTGCTGCCAGACTTTGGGAATCCAGTCGATGATCTTGTTGAGGTCATTGTTGCGTGTGTTCTCTCGGATCTCGGTCTCGACCAGCTTGCGTCGCAGGAAGCGACCTAGGAAACCCTTGACGGGCTCCATGTGGTTGGCACACAGCACCCACCTAAACATCAAAAGAGACAATATTTCAGAAGTTTAGAAATATGACACACTGGAATGATCACAATCGGTAACAACCACTGGCTTTGAGAATGTTACCTTTGATTTTCCTATTGTGGGTTACCTAAAAATTCATTTAGTAGACCAATTTCCAATAACGTCATTAAGCTACCATTTGTTTAAGTCAAGTGACAGTATATGTTGTAATATTTATACTAATTTTGTGCAAGTGAAATAAAACTGTTATATTATTTATACCTGTACTTTGTAAAGCAAACTTTTCCGTTGATTTCTGTTATCTACAACAGCAGTTTTGAAAGTAAGTGTTTGGGAATCGGCACAACTTTTTTTCAAAAGAGTCCTTAAATCGAAACAGTGTGTTGAATACATGACCAAACCAAACAAGAACTGGAAATTCTACAAAATGTTTAACTTTCCAACCCAGGAAAACTAATCTTTTGTCTGCATGTGTTTTTACCTGAAGTTATGATGCAGCTGTAGGTTGGTGGAGGAGCATGTCGCTTGGTTCATGGTGCCGATGATGAACGGGCACTTGTGATACTTGTAACTAAGGAAACCATTGAAGATGTCGCCAAGGGAACCGACGTGATGGAGGTTGTCTAAGATGATGACTGAAGGCAGATCCACCGAACTGTAGGTTGGAAAAGTAATCGGTGGAATCAATTTTTTCCACTTCTTTACTTGGGTCTTTCTTCTCTATAAATAGTCATGTTTGTTTTTTTCTTTGCACATCAATTGTCTCAACTCCTATCACTGTTATGCAAGTTTCTAGTTTATTCAATATGTTTATATCACACTTTTAGTTTTATTCTTGTAAGTCATTCAAGCGCTACCTTACTTTTCCATGTAAAATACTACAAACAGAAAGCTCGAATATCATCCAGATTTTGATCAACATGAACCCTTCAAATTTACAGGAATCTCTCAAATATATTTAAGAAAAATAGTAACAAAGATTTCAGGGGAAAAAATCATAACGAAGCAGATTGGAAACACAAAGATATTTTGTTCACATCTGGGGTGCTTTCTTATTCCAGACTTGTCCGTTTTGTAATGCAACTCACTTTGTCTCGCATTGGTCGGCCACATTAGTCAGATATTGTTTCAGCTCTTTGCTGGATTTGTGGTCCACGTTGAAGACGGCGATGGTGGACTCTGAGGGCTCTTTGCCACCCCTCTGAACGATATGATCGGCCAATCTCTGAGCTAGGAAAGTCTTCCCTGTTCCACTAGGTCCACACAGGATGATGCGTCTGTGCTCCAGGAGTAACGAGATGTATCGCTGGAGGATTGGTTTGGGAATCAGGGTCTCGAAGACAAGGCGATCGCAGCTGTTCTGCTGTACACCTACAATATAAATACATATTTCAAGTATAAATTATTAAACAAGAAACTTGCACAATTTAATATTAGGTTTTGCCCTTCACCGACGTATAAACACTGTATACTCAGTGTGTTACCTCCCGAGTGAAAGTTGGAAAAAAATCACTCGGGTGGGACTCAAACCCACGACCTCCTGCTTTCTAGCGCAGACGTCTAACCACTCGACCACCGAGCTTGCGGGATCGGTTGGCTGGTTCGAATCGTATGTAGCAGCGGGTACCGCAATGAACTATCCATAAGATGGAATTGGCATCGGGGTGATGTAAATTTGCACAAAATGATAATTGACCGTTATGGATTCAGCCATAAGACCTGTCCACTTATGACATTGGCAACATGTGCATTTTTCCGATGCCACACTACATGTTCATGCCATGTGCGTTACGTGTACGTTAGACTTTTGTTGGACATTTGACTGTGCATCATTATAATGGATCAGTATATTAAAACAGGTGTGGTGAATAAGCTTCTGGAACACTTGTAAAAGGGAGATATTTTGGGCCAAATTTTCATGGCTCTGCTAACCACAGAATTTTGCACTTCAACATTTTGTGCTTACAGTGACAACGCAGAAATTCCATGCTTATCCTGTAAGCATAGTTATAGGATGTAAGCATGCACAAAGCCAAACTCCCTGCTAACTGGTGAAATACCTTTACTGTCGGCACAGAATATTCGGCGGTAAGTAGTGGAGATTATTTTCTTGTAATAAGCAGTTATGAAGTTATAAAGTGAGGTGAATACATGCGTTATTCTTGGGGTTTTCTTTGTTTTTCAGAGTGCTTAGATGAATCTACCAATGGGTTTAGACACAAAAGCACCCTCTAGTGGCAAGATATGTTTCAGTGGGGGTCAGAAATGAATTGACATCACACTTACATTTGACATGGATCTGGATGGATGTGTTATCACCCACTAGGTATCCACAAGGCAAGAGTTCTGGTGGGTCCGAGTCTTTCGTTCTGATGATCTCTCCGACGATGTAACTATGTACACTCTCTGCACTGAGGCCGACGTTTGTCACTGGGTCTATTCTTAATACATACTCCTGTAGGAATGACAATGATATAAAGTTATTAAGGTACCCAACAATGTTTTAGTTGAGTCCATTACAAGTCATATTGCAAGCTATTCAAATGAACTGTGGAAAAAAAATTCCTGTGTTATTATTCATTCCCTGTTATTGGTGAATGAAAGGAATTGTGATGTACTTTTGACAGAAATTAATATACTTGTGATGTACTCGAACACAACATTGGTATTGATTTACTATTGAACAGAGCCAGGGTTTTACACTTCTGTCTCCCATAAACTAGAGTTAGCTTGCCTCTGTGGCGCTCGTTTGGCATAGGCCGAAATAGGGTGGGTTGTGGATTGTTTCAAATGAACTGGGTTTGGTTTGGTTGGGTTACATTAGGTTTGAATGGGTTGCCTTGGTTAAGTACCTTGGATGGGCTTGGGTTGACTTGGGTTAGAGCTGGGGCAAGGCTAGGTTATGGTTGGGCTTGGAAGCCTAGGTTTGTTGGTCCGGGCTAGGCTGTTTTAAGATATCTGCATCTGGGGTGGTTGAGACTAGTTTGGAATCGGTACAGATTGTTTGGTTGGGAGGGGATGGGTAGGTAATCTTGACAGAAAGTGATGGTCTTGTACAAACCTTGAATATTCTCTTGACGACACTGTCTAACGTGTCCCAGTTTGTCTTGCTACTGATGCCAATGGTTCCTATAAACACTTCCTGTTGCTTAGGCAAGACATGCTGTAAGTAAAAGCAAGTAACAAAACATCAATAATTGCAAAGTTTTACACATTTCCCATGAAGCATGTAGGTTGTGCTTTTTAAAGTTCCAACTAAGTACAAATCTTGCAAGGATCATCATTACCTCTGCCTGTTTAACAGCTTCGGGTAGACTATTGACAGCAACGGTCACAATGATGCGTTGACTGTTGTTTGTCATACCAGAGTTGTCATCCAGCAAAATATCTGGAGGAAAAAAAGTCAAATTAAATGTAGTTCTAATTAGATAAAAAAAAAAGGTTATCATTTAACATGCTTTAACACAATCCATAACAAATGTTTTCTGTAGGTAAACTTAGGTTCATACTTAAGGCAAATGTGTATGCAAAATTTGACATCATAACACATTTGCTGTGAAATTTGCAAGACTTGAAATTTGTTCAGCTTCACAAATTCGCAGCACGAAAAGTTGACATGACATCTGAAAGTTGCGTTCACCTTCTCTTTCCCACTGAGTATGAACTAGTTGTAATTCTGTTTGAAATGAATAAGTGTAAGAAACTGCACCTTGACTTACCTAGACTGCCGTGGTCTGAGTTCATGCTTAACCGATGCCTGTCTAGTGAATCTCGGCTGAGCCGTTTGGAAGATCCTAGAGAGTTGAGAGAGGCTTGGGAGGAGCTGGCATCCAGGGATCGATGAGCGACGACTTGACGTTGGAGTCTGTCATTCTCCTGCTTGAGTGTGCTCATTTCATTCTGTCCAAAATGAAGGGACAAAATTCTTAGTTGTGTCTTAGATAACAAAAGCCTGTCTAAATGCAAATTGGTTTGGGCCCATAGTTACATATGCAGTAGTCCTTCAAGTCTATCTGGGGATTTTTTTCAGAGTTAGATCCCAGCAAAAACAGACTTTCTTCATTTTTGATCCGTGAAAAATTGTGTGTGCCAAATTTTAGCTGACCGGAGCACAAAAAAAGTGCATGAATTCTATTTAGTTGATTTTCTTTTTTACATGTACTATAATATTATTTTTCTTTTTATCAAAGAAATTTCATTGAGCGGATCCTGGAGTCATTTTGAACGACTGCAACAGTTGATCTTTTAACTGTGGTCGCTCCTAATTGTTTCAAAAGTCCAATAATATTCGATCTTTGGAATGATTTAGTTTGGCATGACTATGAAACGCAAGTCTGGTGGTTCCTTCCTACCTTCATTTTGCTCATGGATTCCTTCATCTGATCCAGTTGATGCTGTGAGCTCAACGCTTCCAGCTTGACGTCAGTCAGCTTGCTCTCCTTCTCTCTCAGTTTCCTCTTGAGATCGTTGATTGTCTCTTGGCTCTTCTCAGCATCGTAGATTCTATTGATGGAAATCAAAGAGTGAAGGAAATTTTAGTTTAGAGGTTTTTGGCAAAATGGAATTAATAACAGTTACTTGAACAATTATTGAACTACGGAGGAAAATTAATTTTGATACAGATAAAACTGGTGTAAAACTTTTACGAAATGACACTTTGTTTTGAGGGATTTACATGTACATAAGTATTATTATTAGTGGCAAAACTACCACACATTAAATTACATTTCATAAAGAATAAAACATGTTTTTTTACTTGTTTATACATTTTGTTATTCACTGAAATGAAATTTCAAGATCAGTTTTAACATTCTATGCTTTAAATGAGATTCCATTTAGCATTGATTAAAAAAAACTGAGAAGAAAAAGCACTTGAAAATGGCCCTATTGGCTTTTAAGAAGCAGTCTGTCACCAAAATTGTAGAGAGACTAAAGAGTGAAAAAGTAACGTGCCCCCTTCAAAAAGGCCAGAGCCACAGAACAGGTCTAGCAGTCACAGGTTTAATCAGTTTAGCCATACCCAATAAATTGGTCTGGTGCTCAATTAATAAGCTTATAGATCGTGAAATCAGTTAGCGTGTACCAGACGCTGAAATAGTCAGGCACCAAGATAACCAGCCCAGCTGACTAGTCTGGTACCCCATGACCTGATACATGAATGCCACTTACGCCGATGTGGAGGCTGATGTCTTGAGCTGTTGGTTGGCGGGGTAACCGCCACTTTGGAAGGAGCTGTTGCTCTCCAGGTCCTCGGTGTCCGTTGAGGTGCCGTTCTTCTTCTTGCGACTGAAGGCAGCACGGAAAGAACTCCGAAGCTGTAAAACCACAGAAGACAAAAGAGAATGAAGAATTGGATATTAAACAGAAAACTGCAATGATGATTATTTGCTACAACACACTTAAATTGCATATAACAACGATCTAATCTACCAGAGGTCATAACAAAGATGTGTTTTAATAACCCCACCAAACAGTCATGCCCAAGTTGAAACACCACACATTCTACAAGAATCCAACTATAAATTCTTTTATACCAACAGTGGTCGAAAAGTAGCCAAGAACCATCAGAAGTAGTAATGAAAATGGAATTAAAAAAATTCATGCTGAACACAATATTGTGAGAAGATACATACTTTTGACAAGATATATGCCAAGTAACAAACTGTGTAAAAGTTAAACCATTAATTGTGGCGTAAACAACAGTTTTAACCTTTTTTTCTTCACTATAATGATGAACACTGTAATACATGAAAATTCCATGCAATCAATAAAAAACTTCAAGCTACAGCAACTAACATAACTTTCATCTAGATCCTATGATCACCCAAAAACAGTTCGTGACAACAGAATGAAAAAAGAAGATTCATGCATGAACATAGTACCTTTTCGCCTGATGAGATCTAAGCGTGAAAAAAATGGAGGCAAAGGACAGATGAATTGGTGAACAAATGGATAGATGATTGGAAAGGTAAACAGGCAAAAGGGAAAGCAGTATTAGTGTGGATGAAAGAAACAAATGAACTGGAGATGGTGGATGATGGGTCACATGATATGTCACACGATTTGTCACATGTGTCATCACATGATATAGCAAAACTAATTATATTTTTGCAGCTTTAGAAGATACAATGCAGTGAAACATAAAAAAGCAATTTGCAACCATAGACGATTATTTTAAACAAACTTCAAGTGATTTTAGGCATGCTTTTTCAGCTGCTGCAAGTTCAGACTGTGCTTCAGAAATTAAAAATTGTGGCACTTTAGGGTGAGGTGCAAATAATTCATTCTTTAAATGAATGAGCAAAATTAAATTTTGTTTGCAATGACTTCTCAACTTATATAAAACTGCTGCAAATAACTATTTCAAAAGCCAATCACATCAAGGTTGGAAGTCTTTGCGGTGTAATTTGTCCAATGAGAGTGCCCTTAACATTTGCTTGTGCCAGTGGTCCTCCTACAGTGGGTGCCAGGTACCAGTTACGGTGTGACCTTTGACCTACCCAGTGCTTCTTTTTCTTGAGGTTCTTCTTGCCGTCCGTGACTTCCGAGTCGGTCACCGCAGAGCCGAAACTGGACATGCTTGTCATGGATGCTAGGCTAGACATGCTATCTGTGGACAACTGGCGACTGATGCGTACCTCGGGAACTGTGCACGACAAACAAAAACAAAAATGATTAAACACAAATCAGAGCATGTGACCACCGCACTGTTATGAGACTCAACAAAATGACTACCCCAATTTTACAGCCAAACTGTAGCACTCGATGTATTCACTTGAGTAAAAAAAAACCACTTGATGCATTTTAGTTAATAAGCCATATTGATCAGCTAATGAGGAACAACATCTGCATTTTTTCTGCAAGCAATTGTGATTTAAATCAGTTTCATTAAACACGTCCTTCAGGCAACTTTATACAGCAAGTGTCTCGGGGGCAATCTATTGTACACAATAACAAAACAGCACACTTTCAGAACTATTCAGTAAACAGCACGATACGTCACGTCACATTCAATTAAAGGCATACACAAGTTATGTGGATCCTTGGATAAAGCTTAATATTGGTCATCTAGATTATTACATGGAGATCCAGTTATGTTGCTGATGTTCAATGAATCCTGCGGGTAGCTCTTGCATCAGTGAAGCTATTGTGTCAAGCTAGAAACGTCTAACCCTTTTTCAAAATACACCTTGGTGGAAATGAACAGCAAAGCCCTTCACTACAAACGTTACTCACGTTTCCTAAACTGAACTCCACAAATGCTACAGAATATCCTTAGAAGTGCTGCTCGCATGTATGCCTTCCCCCAAAAGACACTAGTGATAATTTTCTATATCAAACGCCTACCTGCATTTTTCCCAAACCCTGGCAAGTATTGCATAATTCTTGTGCCTCCAACCCAGAGATGGCATACGTGATTAATTGGGAGTACTTCATCCGTAAATTTATTCCAATATCACTTGAATTTTGAACCCTTCAAACAAGTATTTGTCATTCCTTTCCAGTCTCAACACATTTGACAAACTGTAAAACCATTTGTGTCCGCATTGTATTCAGATTAGATACTGTTCTTCCAAATCCAAAATAACATAAAAAATACTCACAATAGCCGAAGAATAAACATACTGTTGTGACAATTTGGTTTGTAGGGGGTAAAACCTAATGCGCCTGAATCACCAAAGCAGCAACCAAAACAAATTGCGGATGTGAACCTAACGCAGCAGCTATTGTCACATTGTTACGTGATTGAAAAAAAGCAACCAACTGTTACCGCCATTGGTTGTGTTCAAGAGCTGTCGCAAACCACAGATGACTGAAACTATTTTTCTGTGAAACGGAATCCAAGAGTCATGGAATAATGCAAGGGTTGGCAGCGCAAACTGGATCTGTCTACAAACCTTTGGACTCGGCGTAAACACATTCAACATGTCTGAGGTGACGTTTGCTGATAACAATGGGCCGAAATGTCAAAACAGCCAGACAGTAGCTTAAATCCTTGTTTTGGCCTCACTAAATAATGACCATGCTGCTTATCAATTTAAGGATCAGAGAAAATGTTGTTGCAAAGTCTGAACATTAGATTTTGACAAATAAAATATGCAGGATGCTTCGTAATTTGGCTATTTTTGCTTCAAATCTAAATTTCAAAACTCATACGGGGTTATTTCCAATCTGATTGAACTGTTTTAGGAGATCAACAAAGAAGATCATCAGGTTATGAGCTTTATGACTAGACTATGAACCCAGTTTTTATAAGTATCTGAACTTTAATTGACCTAGCTTGTCTGTGTAAAGGTGACAAAGTGATCAATAATACTGTTTGGACCATGGAGTCCAAAAGTTGGTAGCTTTGGATAAAAGGGAGATAGTGTGTATACCCCCAGCTTGAAGTTTTATAAGAATGGAACTTCAAGAAATTTGCGACTGAAACTCATACGGAGTACCTCAAGACTCATCAAAGAGGTACAATGGTGGATTCAGACTCTCATAAACTCTCATAACTCAAAACTCAGCAATACAGACAGAAATTCAACATACTACCAACCTTAGATTCTCTTCCTTTCCCAGAACCCTTCCAGTCATTTCTGCATCTCAACAATCCTTAACTGATACATCTACCCTATTTCTCCTTCCAGCTCGATTTTCAAATACATATCTTCTAAAGTCTGATTGCTTGACATAGCTAAATACAACCCAGTCTTCTGATGTTTATCCAAGCTATTGCAGAACGTCCAATCTCAGCAGATACTTACAAACATTGGAATCTTTGCCGAAGGATTGTTTTCTGAGTAGAGCGGCGGGGTCCCCGTTGCGTTGATGCTCCCCAGCCACCGCGGCTTGCTGAGTGTACTTGAGCAGTTCTATCTTGGTCCGGAGTTCTTGGAGTTCGCTGTCCTTTTGGTCGGCGTCACATGTCAGCTGCTGGAGACGATTGGTCATGTTCGACAGGCTCTGCTCAAAGGCTGCCACCACGTGGGCCTGGACAAGGAAGAAACAGAAGGAGGGAACAAATTATAAATACATATGTATAAATAGATAATCGTGACAAATAACAGCCCACAAGCTTTCCTTACATCTCAAGTTTTGGGGATTTAAAATAAATACCCCCCCCCCAGGTTAACTTTGCTTGTCTTTTCAGAATCAATCTTTGTCAATAATACCTGCATTTTCAACCCTGGTTCCTGAATGGGTTCAGGCACTAGACAGTGATGTACATGCAGTCCCAGTTATTTTGTTATAAGATCAAACATGATAATCTTTGACTTTCAGATAGTAGCTTACTTACTGCTACTTGTGTGTGAGAAATTCCACACTACATTTTTCTCAAAATACAATTACAGACGTCTAAAAAATAACTCCGGTAATCTCTCATCCAAATCCCTCAGAATTTCTTGTTTATCACCGTGCGCAGTCTTATTCATTTCATTCTTTCCATTCCACTCTACGTCCATTGTGACCAACCTCACACATGTACACTGTAAATATTGTCTCTCAGTATCTTTCACACTTTTCTTTCCTGACACAAAACCCAGATTTTGGCCAATGCATAATCTTTTGCGCTTAGTGAAAATGGATTTTTTGCCAGCTTCGTTGCAATACCGCCCCAAAACATTCCAATCAGACTAAAGGAAGCCCTGTTGTCAAAAAACACAACAAAGACAAGACAAGCAATAACCCTCCATCAGACAATCTTGCGTCCTCTACAGGGTCAACTCTTTTCATTTCTGTGTCAACCGTAAATCCATTAATCAAAGTGTCCACATATCTCGAATTCTTGTCAAACAAACGTTGTGATTTCTCGGTCTTATCCTGCAGAGATTATCCTCATGTGACTGTGGCTTCAACCATCAGTGGGTTGAGGCCCACAAAACGTCTTTATCCCTTACTTTTGACTTTCAATCACTCAGGGAATTTTTCCTTTTCTTTGCTTTCTTTCTGGCATTTAAAGAAAACTTTTAAAAGGAATGCAGAGAAATTCCTCGCTTCTTTTCAAGAGGTTCAAATAAAAGGTTCAGTTTGTTTGTATGATTGATTTATGCCCACTGTGTCTGGATAAAACACAAAATCTTGATGTTTTTGGCAACTTTTCTTTAGCTTTTTGTTTACTTTTTGTTCAAGGGTGAGTAAAGTGTAAATTATAAAGCATTGGCATAACAAGAACTGCTGATTGGATTTACATTTTTACTGGCTTCCATTTTTTTTTGTGGGGGGGGGGGGAACATCCATATTCTGCAGAAATTCTTATGTGAGGTGTCCTAAATATTATTTTTGTTTTTTGGTTAACCACATTTAGGTCATCGGCAAGCACAACATAACTTATACTACTTGCAGTTGGTACATATTAAATCGCACAATCGTTTTTCCAGGAATCTTATAAATTTGATTTAAGGCTGAGGACTTTTACTTCTCCCAGACAGGAGCTATGGTTAGGCACCAGCTGTTGCTGTGCAATGAATGGCGTAAATTACAACTCATCAGGGGGCAGTAGATGCAGGGGTAGGGTGCTCTAGGCTCCATTCCCTGGCTGACTTTTCCGCTTTGAGGTGGAAAGTGTGGTTAATTGATGCTGACTCCCAGGCTGCCCTGGTTCATAAAGGTGATACAAGCCAGGGAAAACCACAGATGGGAACGGTAAAAGTTCATTCTTGCAAGCACCATGGAGGAAGGTGCAAGCACCAGCCATGGCTCCATGCACCAATTATGCCATTGCAAATACATTTTATCTTCTGCTTCAGTAATAATTGAGTCTTCTCCTAAATTTTGAGAATGTACCTTTAGGCTTATGAGCGTACGTACAGGAGAGAGTCCATGTTTTAGGCAAAAACAACATGGTTACATCGAAAGGCCATCGATTATCTCATTAACAGTAAGCTTAACTTATACACAGCAGCTAAGACTAGAGGTTTCAATACCTATTAATATTAATAAGGCAAAACTACTCTTCAGTTTTTCAATTTTAACTGAGTTACGGAGGACCCAAAGGAAAGCCGGATGAACCTTTTACCATCCTTAGGAAAATAACAATTTCTTCCATGAGTCCTGTGCAAATTATATGACCAATGTCAATATGCAGTTAGGAAAATGACTTCAAGCAAATGGTAATGATTTGTATGCAAGAATATTTAACCCCCCCCCCTAAAAAAATACAATTTAGAAATCCAAATAGGCCTCACAGCTAATGCTTATAAAAATAGAACACTTCTTTTTTTCTGTACCCCTCAGCCCTAAGCAATTATCTTGTCTTTTGTTAAAGAATATCACCCAAAACAGGGCCAGATGGCTAGCTCAAATTTGGAGCTACACACAGAAAGATCGTCGCTTGTCAGGAACTGCTATGTGTCTAATGATAATTCTCTCAGTGCTGTCATTTTCACTGCTAATTAATGTTCTTATTAGCAAAGCAATTACCATCACCTGCTACCATCTTAACAATCACACCCTACTGTGGTCAAGCCTTGCTAAGTGGATTATGGAGGTGTGAACTGGGTTATTGTCAGTGTTGGCACTGAATGGGCATCAACATGTGCCCAACCACAAGTCATGGTGCTGCATTGTGGTATGGGCTTTTGTAAGGATGCATGTAAACAGGCACATGTGGACCTGAATATGATTACAGAAATGCACAAGTTGAACCATACCTGCTACTATGCATACCATGCATCATTCTATGCATGTACAAGTACTTCATGAGTCAATATACAAAATTTGCACAAATTGTTCATCTTATTACAAATTGTTAACATCGTGAAAAGTTGAGCTTCGTGACTCATTCACATTTATTTTGTATTTTCTATGTTTTTTAATCCTTCAAGCACCTGCAGATTCGTGATTTTACGTTGATACAGATAGCCACCTGGGGCGTGTTTTTTTTTGCATGCAGTAACAGACACGACAATACAAGCGATGTACACAAATGGGCCCTAATAATAACATGCAGAAACTGAATCACACTCACACCCGTCTACCCGGATCTGAACTCTTAACCAAAATAAAAAACCTTTGTAAAAGTGTCATCAATGAAACTTGTTTAGCACCATTTATAAGGCATCGCAGCATTAAAAAAGCATAAATCTGGATCAGGATTTAATACAGGAAAATTACACTGGTCCTTCAAACCAGGTAGCCCCTCAAACTGCTTTGAGATCAACATATGAACAATCTTGATCAGATCACACTGGAAAAGTGTGAATTATTTTTTAAAAACAAACACTCCAGGAAATAACAGCATGCACCAGTTCCTTGCTGTACAAAAGAGGAATGCTAAATATCAAAAGTCAGAAAACTGGACACATCATCTTGTACTCACGTGCATAACATTCGCAGGCATCTTGACAAGTAGCAAGCAGCAAATTGAACCAAATCTACCAAAAGCCTGCAAGTTCTTCTACTGTTTGTTAGCTTTTTGCAAGACTTTTAACCCCAGACTTCAGTCTGTCTGGTCTCCATGCATCAAATCTCCAAATGAATGTCCAGGTTACAGTGATGATCTCAGTTCACACCCCTGGCTACACACACCATGGGGTGTCATCCACTAATGAAGTTATTGGCAGTCCACTGGACAAGGACCTCAGATTACACTGCTGTCCAGGTGTCACTCTTAACCCTACCAAGGACACAGCGCAGATAGGATGTGATGAAGGAGGGGCAAGCCTTTGCTCCTGCTACTAGTGTTGACTGACCTGCAGAGCAATACCTCAAATCTGAGTTCACACAATAATTACCCCTCTACCACCTCCCTGTTTAAAAACTGGTCTGGGTGGCACTTAGCTCCTAGAGAAAGGATTTTTCTATGCCTGCCTGAGAAATAATAGAGCCACTTTTACAGCGGGCCAGTTGAGAAAGGATTAAGTGCACACTGGTCAATGGTCTGAATGAATAGAAGTCAGGAAACTAATCCCAAGCTGACTGGGTTGTGGGATTATATGTACTGACCTGGTGACTGCTAGTTTCAGCATGGAGCTATATCCTTTTTATAGCTCCATGGTTTCAGGCACAGTGCAGCCACAAGTCTGCCATTGCTAGACTACTATATCAATTAACTCAGTCACAATCTGAAGCACTGTGTGCACCCATAGTCCATCACACCAATGATGGCTATTTGGTGTCTCCTTCATCAATCAGCTGAACTATCTACTATTGTTCTTTACTTAGCCATGCAGGATACCACTGTGTGGCTGGATAGGCTATGAGCTGGCTAGCAGGAAACAATTAGGCACCACTTGACCAGGGCTTTCGCTAATCCTTATCCCATTCCCCCTTTGGCTCTGGCCCAAATGATCTTCCATTTTAAGCTGAAATCCATAACCACACCAATTATGTCTTCTCATGAAGACAGTTGGTGAGAAATCTCTCCTTTGTACATGGGTGACTTCTGGAAACTCCAAAAACAACTTTGTCCAAATCAATAATTCTTCAGGTACACCTGGACCAACACACATCCAAAAGGAAGAAGACAAAATTGCAAGTTGTTGAAAATGTGTTTCTAATTATTGAAAAAAAGAAGAAAAAAAATTCTTTACTTTGCCTTGACCGAATTACAGATTGCCAAAATCTCATTGCTATACATTCCTTTTGACATCATGACATCAAGAATGCAGGAAAAGATATATGATTTCCTTTTTCTAGACATCTCTGGGGCGATTCTTCAAGCTAATACTACAAAATTCTTTCCTCACAAAGGCCACCCTTCTTCAGCGATTCCTTACAAACACATTCCAACTTTTTCAACAATTGTTGATTTTTCCTCAGATAAGACATTCCATGCCAAACAAAAGTAAAAATGTTAAAGATGTGGGGAGCATCTGAATAGGAGGATAAAAAAATGAGACAGGAGAAATCGGAAATCCTCTCAAGCCTTTGTCAGTAATAGTATACCCGAACCGTACGTCATGCAGCGCTCTCTTCTGGATCTGTGCGACTGTGAAATCTGCCGCCTTGAGTTGTCACACAAACTGTCTTTGCAAACAATCTCTCTCTTA